GAATTTTCCTGCCTATTCGTGGCAGCCAGCTATTGACTCTCACTATGGCCAGTACAAAATAGCCGCAAACTACATGAAAACTGCCGTAGAAGTATGAAATAATCGATTATTTCCACTATCGATGGGATTTGGGAAATGCAATGTTGGTCTTTGCCTTCCCGCTAACTTGGAGCATGTGCATGTAACATTTGGTGCAAATCTGTCGAAAATTGCGGCCGTGCATTCGTTACACACACGCACACACACATATCCTGCCTTTTATAGAGAGAGATCAGTAAAATTGGATCTTATTGTTTTTTATTTCTCTTTGATTCTTGGAGACGACCATGATTAGAGCGAAAGTGTTTGTACTGAGTAGGCACCGAATTCCGGATGTGCCTCGGCTTATCGAAATATGCCTTCCAAAAGTAAAGCAAAGTACTAAGAAACAGTAAAACATATTGAAATTGTTCGAAACTAAGTAAGGATTTCTGGCTTCCTGTGCGATATCCAGCTTCGTATATGGCAGTGAATGCTGGACAATGTCACCATAGATGAAGAATAACTGGAGGTAACGGAAATCAGGTTCTACAGAAGGATAATGAGAATTCCATGGACGGAGCGAGTAAGCAACAAAGAAATTTTAAATTAAATGACAATAAAGAGAATACTCAGAATCAGAAAAAAAAGACAGCTGAAATTTCTTGGACACATAATGACGAAGGAGGGCTTGGAAAACCCTTACAGGGTAAATCAAAGGCAATAGAGTCGGGGAAAGGCGAGGGACTTTCAAGTCAAGCTTGTTTGAAAGAATGACTGAACAGCCGACAGAAGATATAACAAAGGGAAAAACAATACTATAAGCCAAACCTGAAAGAAGGTCGTGGTGAGCTATGGCCACCTATATCATGAAGGGACATAGCACGTTGAAGAATGTGTCTGCAAATGGGTATATGGATAGCGAAGAATGTTTAAAAGTAGTCGGTATATCTGTTTGTACATGATATATGATATGTGAAAGGGTTTGTTTAAAACGTACCAATTATTTTATTTTGACATAGGAACTTGCCATATTTAGGATTTATATTGCAGTATTGCGCAGTTAGCGAAAAATACTGATAGTGCACAATTCCTTTTTGGTTATTGTTTCATAAGGAAATCGAACTAATGCCACGTTATCATTAAAAGAATAATAATAAAGAAATTAAATTTAAATCCATTAAAAGAAAAACGTTCTCTAAGGATCAGTCTTCTGTCAAGATGATTTCATTGATAGAAAACTAGTGTAATCAATATAATGTCCAATAAAATACGAGACGAAATTTGTCAAACATTAAATAATTGTTTTACTTCTCATGTAAATTAACATAAACTGAATTAACTTCATGTGGTTGCGAGTTTTCTTTACACATTGCATCACCTTGCAAAAGTGTAAGGTATTCTCCTTTTTATTAAATCAAGTGTTTATACAGTGTAACCCGGATATAAGAGACCCTGATATAAGAGAAACCCGGATATAAGAGAGATTTTCTCTGGTCCCAAAGTGTTCCCATACTTACCTAAACAAAATAGACTAAACCCGGATATAAGAGAAACCCGGATATAAGATACTTCTTCTCCGGTCCCGACAACTCTCTTATATCCGGGTTACACTGAATAAGATTTTGTTATCTGGTTATTCGTGTATATGTAATGTTCATTTGGTTTAGAGTTTCTCTATATTTCTGAGATGAGGTATTATGTACATTATTTACATTATTCGGACTATTCTCCTCATCTTTGTCGCCATATTTATTACAACCTTTCGGCCGTTGTACGCTCCGGCCTTCTTCCGGTTAAGGAATATAAAGGAGAGACAGGCCGCCCCCTCAAGGTAAGGCTTCAAGAACACCAGAAAGCTGTAACACGAGAAGTGGAAAAATCAGGCGTGGCTGACCACATATGAAAAGAGAAAGGAGATCACCGTCCTCTTTGGGATCATGCTGAGATCGTAGACAAGGAACACCATTGGAAAATTCGTAAACTTAAGGAATCAGCACATATGCTAGGCCACAAAAATTACCTGAGCCGACCAAGCATAGAAATGAATACAATATGGGAACCAGTAATAAGGAGTGTCAGAGAAAAGCAATGATAACAAACAAGTTGCAATATGAGCTCTAGTAAAAATGGTTGCTGAAGACATTAGGTTTATAATACCCAGAAATTCATACCCAGATGTCCTCAAGGCACAGTGGATAAAGGCGTTGGTTAGATCCAGTGACAGGACCTAAAGAGTGTGAGTTCAATACTCGGTTAAGGCAGTGGAGAACTTTCAGAGGGAAATTAACAGGTGATAACTGATAACTGACATCCATCAAACATGGCACGTGGAACTAGAACAGTCTACCCCGGTGAGCGAAATAAAGGGTTCAGTTCGACATTCCAACCACTTGAAGAAAGCCGGAACGTACAACAGCCGAAACGTTGTAATAAATATGGCGACAAAGGTGAGGACAATAGTCCTAATAATATAAATAATGTTCATTTGGTTTAATTTATTCATGTTGTTGCACACGCCTACGTTCTTCGACACGATTTATGCATTTGGTCAATAATATTGCTTTCTAAGTCAATAACACTGGATTATGACGATTGTTTCGTTCAGTTGATTACAGGATAGTGAAGCTCGGTCTCATCTCATATTTTTGGTCTTATGCCACATTTTTTTTGTATTTATTTCCATAATAATTTATTTGCGAATCCCATGACCCATCAGGTCCGTATGGGCCACACATTCACTGCAGCCGCAGTAAAAGTGGTTTTCCTTGTGCAAGCCATCTCCAGGTCGGTTTTAAATTAAGATTTTCCTTTTCTAGATCGGGTGCCACACAAAGCTGCAGAACTCAATCTGCCCTGCTATTTACCCATAAAAGAAGTTGACCATCCATACCTTTCTCAAGAGTATTAGAATGTAAGCAATCAACTGGAATTCGAACTCGGCTCTACTGGTTCCTCAATCTACGCTGATAACCATTACTCCACCGTGCCTTCCAGATATATGATAAGAGTCTATAAATGTAGCGCATTGATCACCCATGTACTTTTTTAAGGTTTCAGATCTGGTTAAATCAGTGTATTCTACACAATGTTTTGACGGCAAGTCGCTACAGATCAAACATTAACTAAAATACAAGTGTCAATTCTTTAAATAGTCAGATCGAGACTTTCATGCATGTCGTTCAGAAATATCGCTTTCTCAGAGCAATAATTAAAAATGACTTCAAGCAAATGAAGCCGGTAGGTCTTCGGGAGGAGCATACTTCTTCAAAACTCGTGAACTGGCGCTGCAGAAATCACATGACGGGAGGACTTTCAACCGTAGCAACAACTAAAATGGATAGCAGATGTAACCCGACGATAAAATAATGGTATAATCGAGATGTCGATTTTCTACAATGGAAACAAAATTTTAGAAAGGAAGCCACATTAATACTGGAAAGAGAGATATAAGCTACCACACTTAAAAAACCTAATTTGCTGAAAAATCGAGAGAAAATCTTATAAACTACAACTGACAGTCGAGCCAGCTGTTCGGTCTATGAATGTCGAATGCAAACACAAGGAAACGAATGTGAATAACATTCTACCATTCTACGCCAACAATTATCAATGTATGTCTATATCAGAAATATATATTCAGGAATTATCAGTAGCCTTGGATAAGGCCTACTTTGCCAAATTCAACAGCAAATGTTAATATATCGGTTAAGACGTTAGCAAGCCAAAAACTGGAAAGAATTTCATTATTTCATAAAATTATAACTTCAAGAATTATAAAACTACAATAGAATCCCTGACAACCGGACTAAGAAGGCCTTCCAGATATGAGGAATTGGTCACAAAGTACGGATATAAGGATTTCCGGGTATGAGGAATTGGTCACAAAGTCCGGATATGAGGTTTTATATTTAGATTAAAAGAACTGAAAACATGTTGAACATTTATTTTCAATATTGTATAGTAAACAAAAAAAAGCTCATGGTGAGTGAAATATAACGTAACTGATTTTAAGGAAAAATAAATAAATTATAAAATGTTAATGAAAATTCATTAAATTAAGTGCGCCACGTATGCAAAGCAAGTAATATGATATTTTCCGGAAAGAGATATATTTGAACAAAATAGCTAAGTGGTCTTGGCTACTATAACTAAGTAGAATACGGTAGCAGTAATTGACTGGTAGTCACAGGTAAGAAGTGCAGATCAATGGCGTAGTCCAATGGGCTTCGTAATAGACTTAGCTCTCAGACTAAAGCTCTGTCCTGACTCTCCTACACATCTGTCGGTATTTATGACGGACACCAGCCAATTATATTCCAGTGAGGGGGAACACAGGTGTATGCATATTCCATTATATCATAATGTAACGAGCATTTTTTAATCGCTGTTCCATGATGATACTTTCTCTTTTAATGCCATTCTCAACTTTTTTCCGCAATTCGTATTGTTTTTGCTCTTGATTTTTTTTTTAAACGAAAGACGCGTTTTAACTCTGAGAGCGTTATTGAAATCGTTATAGCTGAATGCTAGTTTTCTTTCCATAAAATTGACAACCTTTTCAATAACTTTTTTTCAATTTCAGTCCAGGTGTCATCACAAGCATGCATCTCGTCGCTATCTTGTTGCAGATTTGTCTCATTGTCATCTTTTCCTCTCATTTCCATCATCTTTGGCACCAATATAGGCCATGGACGTGAAATAATCATAAGCAATTATCCAAATAAATTTCCTGAAAAACAGAAATTTCAAACCAGTTACCCAGATAGTTCAAATATGCACAACGAAATCATGGATATGTGGGATTCCGGATATGAGGCATTCCGGGTATGAGGGATTCCGGATATGAGTGATTCTACCGTATATATTTTAAAAGCATCATCATCATCATCATCATGGTAGATTCAAGAAATCCGTGGAAGACGAGGGTGTTAGGCAATGAACGTTTATGTCACGCGTGTGATTTTGGACGCCGAAGTTTAATGTGCCAATACATTTGCAAGTGCGGCACGAAGCCTCGACTTGTAGGAATGGAACAGACATTTTGTATCTTTCTTAGCTCGACGTTAGGCGCTGCATGCGTAAGTTAGCATGAAAGCCATTTTAACTAGCAGAGTTTCTATTCTAGCACTTCCCGACTGTGAAACTCCCTTCCGTTTACTTCCTTCCCTGATAACTACACTCTTCAAAAATTTAAATGCAACGTTGATCGCCATTTTCTATCTTCTTGAATTCCGTTCAATATTTATCTTTTCTACAATTCTCCCCATAGACAGTCTTTTCTCTAATTTTCCCTCCCTGTAACCCACTGCGAACTAGTGGCATTTACGCATTACTTGGGGCGAAATGATTAAAAAAAGAATGAAAAGATTAGATTGAGTTGCGGCAAATTTGGCCTACTTCAGTTGTAACAATATATATATATATATATTATTTTTTTAGTCTATTTCAGGTTTAACAACGGTTTTTCTTTTGTTTGGTCTACTTCTGTTTTAACGACATTTTTTTTTTTGTTTTTTCATTTCCTCTTCAAGTAGATTAACTGACGCAGCAATTTCAACTCATCGATGGGGTTCATATGATAATTCCTAAGCTGAGCTTTCAAAATCTTGACATAAATGCTTGTGGAATTTGCTACATTCTGGATTATCAGGTTAGAGATACTGTCCTTCTAGAGGATTAGGATAATCGCCTTCTGTGATCATAGCATCAGACATGCATTTAATAGTCTTAAGAAACCAGGATTTAATCTCTCTCAAGGGAAGAGTTGATATGCAGAAGGTCCGTTTCTATTTCTTACCCGTGGCAAGAATGAAATTGTTTTAAAATTTTCCTTCTTTAGGGGGGGGGTGAAAATGAAAAGTCATGGTTTGAATGTTAAATTTAATTCCACTTTTTCTAGTTTTTAACAGTTTCATACCGGAAATACTATTGACTGACCTACGGCTTATCAAAAATTTGAAAGTTATTTAAAGCCAGAATGTTTTAGACTATAAGAATTTTCTTTTACATAATAATTATTCAGTGATACAAGTCTTTCTAATTAACGCATAGCTGGGGTGGGTGATGTGGATTAATATCGTTCCCAAGTTAATTTGTGTCTAAGTGAATATTTCGAACCCAACTGAAATTAAAACTCGACTCTCCGATTAAGAATTCTGAGCTAGTATCATTACACCAACCGCATATCGAAGCTTACAGCAGCTGGTAGTGGTCAACCATGTAGGTACTGACCAGGTTCGACGTTGCTTAACTTCAGTGATCGTACGGAACCGGTGTTTCAACGTGATATGGCCATAAGCCAAAATAGTAGTGACAAAAGGTTAACAGTAACGAGTAAATACTGTATTCATGATCCATTTAAGAGAATTCTTGTTGTTTTTACCCTATATTAATGACGAGTGAAGTAGACTTTAAATAAATATGAAGATGTTTTAGAAGATGGATGATACAAATAATAATTGTTTCCTTGTTTGTTATTGGAACTCAGAAGTTACAGATTCAGTGCTCATTCTTTCTTTTCCTTCTTTGTCTCATTAAATGGTATTAGACGTGTCCTTAGAAACAGAATTTCAAACTGAAAATGTCATATGGGAAAAATGTACATAATCCTGAAAGGAATGAATTTGTTTATTTCTTTAAATTACCTTCTATTAGCAAATCCAGATAAGTCAAAAAGCTAAGAACGACAATACAGGAGGAATCATATTCTTTTTTCTCTTCTCATGTATTATGTTTTGTAATGTCCAGATAATATTGTCAATAAAACTTAAGATATCAGTAAAAAAAACAAAAGCAAAAAACATACAACATGAAAAAAAACAGTGAAAAATATTTAACCCATTTTGTTTCTTAAGTTTTTGGAAGAATTTTAATGAAAACTTGGACGCTTCTATTTATTTCATAAGACAGGTTACCGAATGAAAATTAGCTTCATTTAGTTATACTACATACCCTTTCATTTTTCTTCCTGAAAATCTAAAATTGTCTAAACTCTTTCAGTATCAACAAAATGTGCCTATTTTAATGTCTGGCGCATTGTAGATTGTGCGGAATAAAAAAGTAAATTCCATTTCTCCTCATTAACCAACCCATTAAGGCACACTGTCCCATTTTGTAGACGACGGGCAATAATGAGTTATAGGAAGAAGCCTAGAATGATTAGCAAATTTTTGCAATTATTTATTTTTATAGAAACTGATAATCGATGTAATGGCAAAAGTACGCAGGTGTTGGCTTTAAGAAAGCTTTATTCAACGCTATTTATTAACTGCCCCAAGCAGTCACATGTGGCACAAGGCCCAATTTAAAGTGGGGTTCCCGAGCCCATTGAACCCGTATAAATCGGTTCAGGGTCGGTTTACCTTTCCGCAAAAGTATCCGCTTTTCGGCGTAGCCTCCTTCGGGTTCCTCCCCCCGCCCCAAAAAAGGCAGAGTGTTCAACCGATCAGCCAGTCGACTGACTGACCAACTCGGGAAAGATTTCAACTGAGAATACAAGGTTCGCGTATTCCTTTTATAAGTCCCAGTAACGAGAAATAGCTCTCTCAAAGAGCAGAGTAAAAAAACAAGGTAAGACCACTCTTGATTATTAATAACAGTTAATACCGTAATATTTTTTTTTTTAAATTAATACTGGATTTAACGGCGGGTCATGTATATTACTTTATATTTACAACATAACAACTTAGATATCCATCTGTATGAAAATATTATTTAATTGCAGGATACCAATTTAGACCTAATTGTTTTCGAAGGAGGGTTAAAGAAGTCAGCATTTTAGGGATGTGCTTAATTGGTCACAGTTAAATTTCTGTATTTGATAATGAAAAAAATCAGATTTTTTTCTCTTTTCAATGAGCCCAAACGATACTTATCATATTTTCTTGCGTATAACATGACTTGAATTTAATACGGTCCCGTAATTCTGAAGCTAAAACAGATATTAAATTACATCCTTGTGTATAATGCCATTTTTTTTATTAATGTTGTACCATAAGATCCATTAAAATTGCAATATAGTACAGATACTTCACTAAAATATATTATTTTTTGCGATATTAAAGAATACAAACCAACCATTGTGAATTCTTCTACTTCCCGTTTCAAAACTTATCAAATTTTTGGAGAAAGGTACTTTTTGTAACATTAATCTTATCAAAACATGATATTTCCTGTCTTTCCTGTATTTGTTTACTCAATCTCAGCGAATTCCCTGCCTTTGAGAAAAAACGATATTCAATTAAGCTAATTCCCAAAGAGCAATTATTGCCGACATATCAAATACTTTTTGTAAACAATTGTTATTAACACCTGCCAACATTGTGTTTTATTATCTATTGTGCTGAGTGGATTTGCAGTCTTGGTGTTAAGAGGTTTTAAGCTGAGTTAAAATTTCTGAAAACGGGGTATATGTGTATAATACGACCCTACTTTTTGTTTTAAATTTTTGTTCAAAATGATTCGCATTATAAAAAAAATACGGTATTTTCTTAACGTATATATTTTCCGATATGAGAAAAGTAAAAACAAAACAATAACTCATATTAAATCATAATACACATTCAAAACAAATTAGATTCAGCAAAATTCTACAAGTCGATGGCTAGAAAAGCCAACATAGAAGAATATAAATGTGAAGGCTGATGCGAATATGAGCTATTATTTTACTGGTCGATTTTGTTTATGCGTTGTCTGACCAAATCCATATTAACGGCGAGGGACGTGTTGAGTCGCCTTTTAATAATGTCCTTTGAACACAACAAGCATAACACTCTTTGGTCACGCCCGCGTAGCTGAATACATTACATCTCTCTTTATACAATTCCAGGTAGAGTTGCGGAAGTCAAAATTAATAAAGCATAGCTGTTGGGTTTTCTCTCGATCTTTTTGAAGGCACTGCACAAGCGTGGCAAGGGAAACGGAAAAAAGAATGACTCGTCGAAAAATGAAAGAATATTGAGGTAAGATGCAATATTTTCTTTGCAAATTATATATTTATGCTTGTTGTTTTATCCTTTTTATATATGGGGTCTTTAGTTATTTGACCATTTCGTTGGCACAAATAAGATGAATCGTTTCATCAAGCGTTTAGTTTAGTTCTCTGCACTGAGATGATTCCTATGATGTTAGTGTGTTATTCTCTTTTAATAACGGTTACATTTTCATGTGCAAACAAAGGAAATGTCCATATTTACTTTGGTGATATCTCAACAAATAAACTTATAATGCCTCCAAAACAAAACTACTCTCATTTAACCACTATAGAGAAATTGTCTGCCTGCCATCAGTATGGCTGATGCTAGACTCATGCTGAGTAATACACTGGGCTTTCTAGGCCCCGCGTTTTTAAGTGACTTGAAGTGAACGACTACATCAAATCAATAGCTGCATCTACTTGCAAGGAAAGTTGGGTCAGTGTATCGTACCAGAATTTTTTCTCGTCAGAATCCATCTTGCACATATACAAAGATACCATTCCTCCGTGCAATAACTACTGTTTCCATATCTGGTCTGGTGCCCCTGCTATTCATCTAGAGGTTCTTGACAAAATCCAAAGAATGATCTGTAATCTAACGACGAGCTTTCTTTGCTGCTGACCCGATTACATGAATTTAAGCGTGCTACTATATTACATCTAGGCGCCACCCTTTTACTGTTGGGTGGTTCCTGTTGGGTGGTGCCTACATTAACATCTAGGCGCCACCCTTTTACTGTTGATTTAATTAAATGTAACCGCCATTTTTACTCCAACAGTATCTTTTCTCGTGCTTCCTAGCAATAGAACTCCCTTCCGTTAGAACTTACTTCCCTGACAACTACAATCTGCAAAAATTTAAATGCAACGTCAATGGCCATCTTCTATCTTCTTGAAACCCCTTCCTTCCTTATCCTTTCTTCAATCTTCTCTATATTAATTTTTTGTGTCGCTTTCACTCTCTGCTGTCTCGCGTACTAGTGGCATTTCCGTTTTGCTTGGTGGGGAAATGATTAAAAAAAACTTTGGTACCTGTTCTACATTTATTAATAAGTTAATTTGTAAATATTAGTTTAAAGAAAATAAGACTTTTTTTACGCAATG